TTTCCGGCCGGGTCGCTCATGCCTCTCAAACCTGCTACTTGCGCGTGAATGCCGGATCGAGGACAAGGCTAAAGGACACGAAACGGACATCATCTTCGTGGTCTTCAGCAGGGCCGTCGAAAAGGTGCAGCACGACCTTCTTCTGCGAAAGCTGTCCCATCTAGGTGTAAGTGTGATCATGCGGAATTGGCTGCGAAACTTCCTCATCGACCGGAAATTCTTCGTCCGTGTTGGCAAATAGCTCTCTACGTGCTAATCCGCTCCCAGTGGGGTCCCCCGAGGCTCGATTCTTGGTCCATTGCTCTTTGTGGTATATTTGAACGAACTGCCCGGTCAACTGTGCAGCCCATCCCTCATGATTGCGGATGACATCAAAATCTGGCGTACAATCAAGGATCCGAATGATCGAAGTTCTCTTCAAGTGGATTTGAACGAACCGGCTCAATGGGCGGATACCTGGGCTCTTCTACTCAACACAGCAAAGTGTACTCACCTGCACTTGAGGCGTGCTGACTCAGAGGTAGGCTACAACTTCCACGGAACCATATTGCGCAGAACATCGTGCGAACGAGACCTGTATGTTATGGTTACGTCATCACTAAAGACCCGAGAAAACATCAATCAGGTCTGTGCTAGCGCATGAAGCATCTGGGGCCTATTCGGCGGTCTTTCAATCAGCTCACGATGGACGCTTTTAGGCTGCTGTACACTTCCCATGTCAGACCAAGACTTGAGTATGGTGGTGCAGTGACATACCCCTGCACGGCCGGTGAACTGGCTAAGTTGTAAAGTGTACAACGTGCTGCCACTAGACTCGTTGTTGGAGTACACGGGACCAGCTATGAAGGCCGTCTGCATACTACTGGTCTGTTCCCAATTGCGTATCGACGCCTCAGGGGAGATCTCATCTGCCTGAGGAAGATCCTGAGAGGTGATATGGGCCCGGAGCTGCAACAGTACTTCCCCTTACGGACAAAGGACTGCACGCGGGGGCACTCTCTCACGTTGCGAAAACTTCAGTCAGTTGGTCTTCTGTTAGTCTACCGACTCTCGCGTAGACCAAAAACACTGTGGAATTCCCTTCCAGCGATTGTGGTGGAAGAGAAGACAGACACTACTTTCAAACGGCATCTGGATGAGCACCTGAAGGGGCTATAGAGGAACGAGCACTTGTGATCGGACATTCGACCCAGTGGTGATGGGGCTTACACAGGTACCGTGCCCTCTGCCCTCAATCCTGAAGACTGACGACTGAATACCCGCCCGGGAAGACTCAGCTCCACAGACCGGATGTAATGTGAATAGATTATCCACAAGAAAAAACTGCATCAAATTTGGATGGCAACTCTGTGCAGGTATCTAGATCATACTTTGCGGCTCTTCATTAACACCAAAAATCCGCAATCAAGTTAAACATAACGTTCGGAGATCCAGCAATACTATCAAGTAATTGAAGTGGCACAACACCTGACAATCAGTATGTAGTCGATTGCGCTTCCATGCATTCATACGAACTACTAGGTTTCTGAATTCCAGTTATACGAGAAGCGGATAGTCAAATTATCAAACTCGTGAGCGTGATATTATATAATCTAAAGACAAAAATTGTTCTGCATTGCACTAACCGGTCTGAGAATTTGCGTACAGCTTTTCAGTCATAAAGGAAAGGCCGCTGGCAAATTTGTCTGAAAGATTCTAGTGTTCTTATCACAATGGAAGCTTCAAACATGAAGTTTCCTTTAAATTTGCGTTTTTTATGACATAACTTTCGTTGCACCAAATTTTGATGAATAAACTTGTAAAAGTCATAGTCTCGTATCAGTTTGAGGGAATACAAGTTGAGCTAATACCAGAGAATAATTAGTTTGAATTGCAAAATAAATTGGGGGAAACGGAACTGTGTGAGGATGCGGTTGAGAGCGGAAAGGTGATACGAAACGAACTAATAATCGTACTGTATATAGATAATCGCACTTGGTCACAGTCAGGGGTGAATTTTGAGGAAACCTCAGCAAAGATGGAATTTACTAACCAGAGTATTCAAAGCCAAAGCTAAACCCGGTCAAACAAGAAATCGCGTCAATGTTCCCGCTTGATCGGGACTCTCTTCCAAAATTGAACAATCCACTTGGGATGTTCAAAAGCACACAGATCAAGTACTTCATCTGTCCTGCACCGGGGTGTTAAGAGTGGTGTCCGAGCGCATGCTAAAAGCTCTGAATGGACGAAAATATTGTTTTATTATCTCTGTTCCAACAGATTTCATTACCGCACCTTCCTATGGGACGAATAAGATTCAAGCGATAATAAGGAATAACCATCTGTACCTATCTACTATCTAGATGATCCGCATTAGTACGCCTGAATGGTCTGAAAACAACTACGTGCACTCCTGTGCCTCTTTCATATATATAGAATTTAATATATGAAAATTATAATAGACAATATAATCATATCCAGCTTTCGAAGTCATAAATGATATCCCAATTTGCTTGCATCAACATAGACAGTTTTATTACAGTTTTTTATTGTCATCTCTAATTCAAAACAGACCGAATATCCAGACTACTTTGCCTACGATGCATGTGAAGAAGTGCTCCTGTTTCCAAACGAAGAGGCACATGATGGAGAGAAGTGAGTGTTCTCTATCCCGCCATCGTCCCCGCTGCATGAATGTACGCGCTCCAATCTTGTGACCCCCGTCCATGCATTATGCTCTGATCAGAGAAACATAAGGAATGCCGCATCCCACCATCACTGTAAACTGCCTGAATCTGTTTGCCTACGGGGCTTGGTCAGATTATCCTTACAGAGTTCATGCCTGACAACTACCAAACAACATACGTTAACTAAAGCTTCACATATTTCTTTACTATCTCAAGTTCGGTTTGAGGATCGTCATATTCTGGATGAATTTTGGTTCAGAAGCACAGTTATTTGTTTTAAACAATACACATCTAAAGTACTGTTCTCAGCTAGAAATACAGTTTCGCATGATAAAAATCCGTGAATTAGCATTCAATCCCCTGTTTATATGCTACTGCTACTCTGTACTCTATCACGTCACACTGATAACTGATATCACACTAGCTCGAAACTCAGCCTGGTGGAAATTTGTATTTCTTAGGTCATACAACTGAACGTCACATTTCTCGTTTCGGGTAAAGAACGCAAAGAAGATTATTTCGTGAAGGACAGCTAATCTTAGGGACAATTACTGGAAATTAGACTTCATGCTGCCCAAACCTTCGCAACTTGATGTATGCTTTCGCAGACTAGGAATTGATTCAGCCAGCACTAATGCAAGTTCCAATAGCCGGAAGGTAATTCATGTTTTTAACAAACTCTACTCAGTATAAGAACAGCTTGAACCACCGCTCATTCTAGTGATAAATACATGTGCCAACAAATCTGGAGACAGCTTTACTCTCCAAAACGCGTCGATTTACGCAAACTGGCTAGAATGCTATGTATGCTATATATGGCATACGTTGGACATTGTTGAAGCGCAATTCAATTCAGGGAACAAAGTGATCCATTGTAAAATTAGAAATGTAGTTTACCACGCACAAAGACACAACTACAAGTAATCAAAGGAAAATATGCAGACAATATTTTTATTTCATTTAAATTAGAACAGTCCTATTGTGCACTATTTCAATTTTTTATTTGAAAATTTACACTACTCTCAAATTTTGTAAAATGCTCCTCAATATTACGAGGAGACTGGCATGTCGATTGCAACAAGGGTTTACCACAGCTGCATGATGATAAAGCTCGTTTCCAAAATGGTCACACAATCCGCATCCCATATGGAGAAGAGATTCGACGGAACCAGCTTCCGACTGCACATTTTTCGAGAGACGCATGCCCCGGTGTACACAACGGATCAGCTTCCCATCCATCTTCTGCATCAACCACCGCATGGCAAAACGAAACACTGTCTCGTTCCAAAGGAATGGCTGCTTGTGTTACAGGTTTCGAAGAGAAATTCTCAATCAGTTCTCCTTTTTCTTTCCCTATGTCTCACTCTTTTCTCGCTGTCTCTATTTCCACTGAAACCATGTGCCGTTGCCGTGACATCCAATCCAGTTTTACCCATGGAAACTACGATTTTGCCTTCACTCTTAGTGAAAAGTTGCGTAGCATGAATTTCAATCAGTACGATCCGAAGGCGAAATTGCGACGTCAAAGTTTGCTCGGACGTTATCGACTGGACCCGACCACTGGGGCCCCATTAAATCCGATGGGTCGAACTGGGCTGTTGGGCAAAGGCCTGCTACCCCGTTGGGGCCCGAATCACTCGATTGTTGTCTGCATCACACGCTGGTCGAGAGATGCACGTACAGGAAATCAGATAACACGAAGCAATCGCAGTGTGCTTCAGTACATTGCCCTAGAACGGAACAAACGACTTTGCATTCCATGGGTACGTCTCAGTTACGTATTTGTTTTTTTTGTAACTCAAATTAGCTAATTTATTAAGCATCTTTCGTGAGATTATCAACCGTTAGCGCATTTGAATTCGGTCGCGTTACAGGATCCCATTCACACTGAATCAGGTTCACCACATCCGTTAGACTCCGGTCGGTTATTGAATAAAACCAAGGTTCCCAAAACCGGTCGAAACGTTTATTAGAAAGTGCACACTGGCCACAGCCGAAGCTGGTTGTGTTAGGCGTTTTATCTTCAAAACCTTGTGTGCAGAAGTGTTTGATCCAATCCGTGCATCAACTCTGGGTTTACGGCAAAGTCACCCCCTCCCCGTATTACACACTAACTCCTCAGAAATGAGTCGAATGACCAGGGTGGCAACCACCATCCTTGAGAGATAGAGTAGACAACTATATATGCATATCAAAAACACAACCATCTGTTACATTCATTCAACATTATTTACCACTCAATCTAATGCTTCTATTGCCACGATCTTAAAACACTGGAAACAATATTTTGTTCAAAATTTTATGATGCATTAGAGTAACTAATCATTTTGTTACAATCGGGATTATTGTGTAACTAATTAGGTAGTTATTTGATTCTGAATAATCTTCAGCAAGTGAGACAACTGGAACAGCAGGGTCAATGAATTGCGATTTAAACTTCACTCATGAGGTACTTACATCGGCATTAGGTAACTCAGATAATTAGCTTTACCACTGTACTAATTATGAATCATTGAAATAAATTACATGCTGAGAACAAAACTGGAGGGCAACTAAGAGTTTCAATTAGTTTTTCAGTTTCTATTGGTTCCTTTTACTGTTCTGTTTAATCTCTGCACGCTTGTGTACAAAATGAGCTCAAAAACGTTCACCACTAAGCTGTCTTTAACGCCTTCAAAATAGGAATTTTTATTAATCCGTTCGTTATTTCCAACCACAAACATTTTGGGACCATTCAACACCAATGGAGGAAAAATGGTGGATTGGGCAGAAAGCACTCGACTTTTAGGTTCTTCTGGTTTCTTAACCAAACCAGAGACCAATCCTGTAACATTTCGGGACCTGTCCAGGAAGCGAGAGCAGTATCTCAAGGAAAACTCGCTTTCGGATATAACTGTTTATACTAACGAGACAGCTCAAACTCATCAGTCAATCTGATGGAGATGGTATAATCTAGGAAATGTGGCACGATTAAATTGGTTTTAGAGAAGCAGGATACTTTCAACTCAATCGTTGAAGTTATTCGATGTCTTGCACAGTTTGCATAACAATAAAAGGAAAATAGAAAATACTCTTATTTTTAGTGGTTCACTTTAATGTCGATTAAATACAATCAATACATTTGACTTATGACAGAGGTTGGAGTTAGGAAATAAACGAATATTACGACAAGGAATAACTAGGTTCTGAATTGATCCCCTCATTTAATATGGGGCGTCAGAAACTAGAAGCATATGGGCAGGTTCTTGAAAGCCTACTCAAGATGTGGGGAATATTTTTGAGCTAAGTGTGTGAACAATCTTGTTTCTTTTCTCATTTACTCCCCTCATGAGCTTCATTTTTTAATCACACTATGTTGGGAAAGATGATTACCAAACACTGAAAACGAGTTTCTTCTTCGATTGTGCATTTTTACCGTTACTGATGATTCTGAAGACTCCCAATAGCCACCATTCTGGTGTCATATGTAGAGTTTCGGTAGCCCCCAATTGCGCGAAAGCAGTCAACCAATAATATGCCCTTGAGTTCCTTGCCAACCGGAGTGCATCTTTTTCTTTGACAATTCCTCAAAATTTTAGGAACTACTTCTAAGGGAACCCTTAAACAGGAATGATAATCTGCAGTACAAAATTATGGTCTGCCTTAGTAAAACGCGACTGACAGCGCATATCGAGATTTCTCGTATACTTTCACCAATTCAGTTGTAGTCCGAACCGGGCAAGGATGCTATTTTTTGTAGAAATTGGTCTCATCACTACAGACTTGATTGAAGGATTAAATTTCAATGTTTTGCGTTGAAATATTCTCATCTCCCCATTTGAATTTTTCTAAAGTTTGCCCATTTACGTAACACAGTGCGCATGATTTCTTTCCCTCTATTGAATTTGGATGGTTTTACATCTTCAATCGCAAGAACCGAGATTCCTTGACAGACTTTATTATCAGTAATTTCTTTATAGCCACAGAGAAGGGGGAAAGAGGGTGTATATGCACTGTCCCTGATTGAGAGAAAAAACAGCTATTTATTGATTGATTATTCAGATACTGAAAGCTAATCTATCCTCATTTTCACCTATCCAAAAAGCAGAGACAAATTATTTATGTGATTCCTTCACCCAGGATGGAGCAGATTGTTTTTTATGCACCAGTCAAACTACTCACCATCATTATCGTAGTATACGGACAAAAAAGTTGAAGACTTCAAGGAACATAAAATTCGTAAAAGCGTTTTCTTTCTGTGTCTCTTCTGCTTTCGACACGCGCTCAATTAATATGACAATAAAACGAAGCAAAAACTGACAATTTCCGTCCCCATTCATATTAATCGGCAAATAAACAGGCCCTGTTG